CTTACTTACTTACTTATATATACATACATACATACATACATACATGCATACATACATACATACACACGTATATTTTTACGACATGGAAAGTAGCAGAGCTTCTAAGATTCCAAGACCAGGTCAGCAAGACCACCGACGAGGCCGGGAGGGCACGAAAAGCCACATCAGCACAACTTGCCTTTTGCTGAACCTTGGCTGCCTAATAGTATACTCTAGTATACTATAGTATACTACATTACATTATATTATATTATGTTATATTACATTATGTTATACTATATTATATTGTATTATATTACATTATATTACATTATGTTTTTATATTGTATTTTGCTATTCTTCATAAATTCTATTGTATTATAGCATATTGTATTATATTATATTGTATTATATTATATTATGTTGAGTTATATTGTATTAGACTAAATTATTTTGTATTATATTTTTGTATATAATCAATAATATGATACAATATTAGAATATAATATAAGTGTTGATGAAGACCTTTTTGTATGGACGCCGCCTCCCCGGCTCTTCTCCTTGTGTTTCCCCCACTTCCCTGCCCTACGACTGACCGGCAGTGGAATGGTTGAGCGAGTTTTTGTGGATGCGACTTGGGGTTGCTGTCATACGCTGATGCATCTGTTGCTGCGCACAGCAAGGAGGCCTCTGATCTGTAGTGATTTTTCTGCTAGTACTCGTAGTTCGTCGGAGCTCTTTTGGTCTTTGACTCTTGCGGAAGCTCTTGATGAGGCATCGTGCGACTCTGATGGTTGCCGCCTTTTCTCGCTGCGTTCAACCCATAGCGTATACTCTCTCTTTGCTTGATTTCCGCCCCGCTGTTCCTTTTGTCTCGAAGCTTCGCTACTTCGAATTCTGGGTACGAGCGATCGTCTGTGTTAAAATGTGTTAAAGGCATGTTCAATCATATCTGAAGTTCATGTTGAGCGTTCGTGGCGACTCCTGTGCAGGACCAGATCTTCACCGCAGTGCTCACCCCACTGGTGGATCATCCCGAAGCAAAAGACCGTGTCCTGCGAATCGACAGGCACCACGATACCGAGCAGATCAGAGCGTAAGCCGTTACGTCGAAAGGCCAGCGGAGAGCCGGCAGTGGCGATGTGGGAACGCCAGCCTCGAGCTTGCCGACTCTTGGAGAAAGTCCAAGCTCCACTTGACTTGAGTCACTCGAGATGCATCAGAGAGATCTGAGGACGAGCAGAACCAAAGGCTCGTGTGGATCACGGAGGCACAGCAGTGGCACAGCCTGGCACAGCGCTGGCGGGCTGCTCGGCCGCCGGAATTCCGCTGCTCCGCCAGGACGGGCGTCGCAGCGTCTGGTCCAGGACCAAGGAAGTCTTGGCTCCAAGTGGCGGCTCCGACAGGAGCGCGCAGAGCGCTACGGCCGCTACGGCGGAGCGTGCCGGCGTTCAGTTAGCCTGTTTCCAGGAGCGGGGAGAGGGAGGCACCCGAGGACAGCGACAAAGACGTCGACAGGCAGGGGGAATCCGCTGCAAGTAGCGTCCGGGTGCCCCACAGCTGAACCTGAACGGCCAGAATCGCCTTCCCCTGGCTGCTGAACAACTCCGCCCCGGAGCCATGGCTTCCGCTGGCCGAAGCCTTTGCTTTTCCGCCCTGCTCTGCCAGCTGCTGTCGGCTTGCAGCTCCGAAAACGGAACCGCAAGCCGCCCCCGAGCCGCCCCGGAGCCCGGAGTCTCTCTGCCAAGGATGTTCCCCGAGACATCCTCTACGATGGGGCACGTCGCGGAGCTCAGCCATTTCGAGGGCTGTTGAGGGGCTTGGAGTGGGGCCTTGGAGGGCTTCGTCGAAGGTTGCGAGCAATTTCAGCAGAATCAGCGCACCATGCATGATACAGCCAACCCAGGCGTGGCAGCCTTGCTGGATATTCGGCAAATGATCGGTGCACGGAGTGAGCCTCAGGACAGCATCCCGGAAGGGGGAGTGGGGGATGGGGAGGTGTTGTTGCAGCAACCTTGAGCGGCGAAACAGTACAAAGACAAGAAATATCCTGTGTCTGTTGGAGATCGCATGACGATCGGCTTCTTCAGCGTCGCTGGTAACATCACCCTGCAGGAGCGTTTCACGCACATCCTGATGGATCACGACCTGCACCCCACTCGCAGGGCTCCCGGAGAGCAACCTCGGATTCGATGCGGGTGATGGCGAGGGCATGCTATAGGTGGTTTGACGGCAGTTCTTGTTGCCTAAGGTCAAGGCGGTGACTACCTGATCCCGGGTGTCGACTCGCCTCTCTGGCAGACGCTGAACGTCTCAGAAACCATGCGCCGGAGCCGCCCGGCTCTGTGTTGAAGTTAGTAGAGCGGGGATTGAGCAGACAGACAGAAGAGAGCTTCTCCAGCACGTGCCTCCAGCACGTGCTGCGGCAGCATGCAACGAGGTATCGTGCAGAGAATCAGCAGGATACCCCACGAGGCCTGGGCCCCGAGTTTTTTCCAGAGCCAGGCCGTGCTTTGAGCGCCTGGCAGGTTCTGTCTCAGCGCGTCAGCTGGAGTGGGAATGCGGAGGCCAGGGGCGTCTCTGAGAGGCTGTCCTGGGCTGCCATTGCCCTCCCCAGGTTTGGGTTGGCCGGCACAAAATATCGTGCCGCTCCCGAGACATCCAGGCTCTCCGCTGCTCTCCGCTGAAAGTCCTCTGTGAAAGGAGCCCTGACCTGGCCAGGCCTTAAACGCCAGATGGGTGCCTCCCCTCCAGGACGAGCGGAAGCCCCTGGAGATCGCCAAAAGCTCATTGAATGTGTCTCTGAGAGTTGCAAGTGGGGGGGGGGGGGGAATCCTTAAGCTGACACCCCAGGCGCGCTTGTTGGCCTTGTACAGCGTTTTTGACAATCCTTT